TCGCGTGGCCAGGCCTCTGACTTCAGTAACGATGATGATAGTGACGTGGACTGTGATTTTATTGCGCTCGACGATCAATCGAGTAGTGATAGTGAGGAATCATATTCACCAGTGAAGCGTCGGTATGTTCGCCGCCGCATGCGCTCGGGTAGTGTACTCTATGCTGTGCCCAGGGGACGGAGTACATCCCGGAGTACATCCCGTGGCCCAAACACAGTTTTAGGTAGTGATAGTGAGGATGATGTGGCTACACTTGGCATGGATAGACCACAGGCATCAGTGGATGGTGTTAGTGGTGATGGTAGTGGCACCACCATGCGTGACTCACCAGGCCACGCTGGGACCCACGCTGCTGACTTGTCAGTTCAAGGACAAAGCGGAGCGCCAGCCACCAGCCCACCACAACCACAACCACCGCAGCACAACCAGCCTATGATGTCCAGTATCCCCACCAGCAAACCGTGTGTGGGATTGGCAGCAAAATCCCAATTTTGTTCCCAAGCCTCACCACTTTGATGATTCTCCAAGTGGAATTCTACCTACTTGTCCCCTTGGAACCACGGCCAATGAACTGGAATTCTTTGAATTATTCTTTGACAGCCATTGATGGAAATTATTGTCAGGGAAAGTATAGTATTTTGAGTACACCATGGCAAATACGATCTTATCACCACAGTCAAGACTACACAGGTGGAAAGAGACGACTGTTGCAGAAATGTATTTGCTTTTTGCAACAATAATGCTTATGCCTCACGTCTATAAGCATAATATAAAAGCATATGGTCCACAGATCGGCTAATTTCTACCCGGTCTTCAGTGAAATCATACCAGTGAAAAAGGTTTATCCTACTCTACGTATGTTGCACTTCTCTGACAAAACAGGCCTGACAGAAGTGACAGGTTATACAAGATTAGAAATGTTTTCATGTATCTCAACAAAAGTTCAGCATATACTTTTATCCATTCAAGAATCTTGTAATTGACGAGTCTTTGATTTTGTTCAAAGGTAGACTGTCATTCAAGCAGTATATACCGAGCAAGAGGAAACGCTTTGGTATAAAACTGTTTGTACTCTGTGATTGTGACAGTGGCCTGGTGTTGGATATTGTTGTATACACGGGTAGTAAAACATTGAAAGATACCAAGATGTTATTGGGTATCTCAGGTGACGTAGTGAGAAACATGATGGCACCTTATCTTGGTAAGGGGCATACATTATATACCGATAACTGGTACACAGTGATTTCATGCGAGTGAACAAGACAGATGTGTGTGGCACAGTGCGTTCTAATCGTAAACATATGCCCAGGCTCAACGCAGGTGCTCGTGGTGATGACGTGCAGGTGTTTACTGCCAATGACATCATGGCATTACGGTGGCATGACAAACGAGATGTCACATTGTTGACAACCATTCACCGTAATGAAATGCAAGACAGTGGCAAAGTTGATCGAGTGACTAATGAATGTATTTGAAAACCAGTGACAGTGATTGATTATACACTAAACATGCGCTTGGTTGACAAATGTGACATGCAGATTGGTTTTGTTGACTGTGTTCGTAAGAGTTACAAGTGGTACATGAAACTTTTCTTCCATCTCATGAACATTTCAATGCTCAATGCATATAATATGTACCAAATAAAGACTGGCAACAGACCACCATATGGTGAATTTTGTTTGTCTTGTCAGACAACTCATAATGAAGTACCAGGTAACAACACCTGCTATACAACACGGTCCTCGAATTCCTCAGGATATACCCAAGCGTTTGAGGAGGGAAGGTGATCATTTCATAATACAACTTCCTTCAACTCAGAAGAAATTTGCTCAGAAGAGATGCATCGTCTGTGCACAAACAAAAAGACGGCAACAAAGATGCAAAGACAACGTTTATGTGTGAGGAATGTAAGGTGCCTCTGTGCATGGTGCCTTGTTTCAAGGAGTTCCACAAGCTCCAGCAGTTCTAAAACCATGTCCAGTGATTGTAAATATGTAAATATATGATAGAACGTTAGTATTATACAAGATTTGTGCATGTTTATTGTAATAAACAACAGTGGTAAACAATAATATGATAATAACTTTAGTGCGGTTATTGTGTTCAATACAGTGAGTTTATATATATACATTATATACAGTATTTGGTCTCTCAGGCCCCAAATGTTAGTAGGAATAGAAAAAATTGGAAAAGAAAAGAAAAAACAACAAAAACCGCAAAATAATGTAATGCGCGTTTGTGGAATTCGTCGATGTTGCCGCCACATCATTTTCGACAAACTTCTTGGCACTGTATCTCGGTAAGTACTGATCAGAATTTTTTTTTTGTCTTATTACCTTCACAAAAATATGCTCTTTAATTCTGTAAGAAAAATATTTTTTTTTTTTTTTTTTTTTTTTTCAAAATTTCTTGGACACTGGAGCACCACTTCAGATTTTGGCCTTGGACCCTGAAGGGGTTAAGTAGGGGCTTAATACTGGATGTTGTTCTCGACTTTGATTTGGCATAAGAAAAGAAATACTTTGGGTTTCTTTCAGTTTTATTTATGGCTTTTAGTTCTTCCCACATTTCTTGGCTCCTGTAAGATTTCTTTAGCTTTAGTTTGAAGTTTGCTATTTCTCTGACCAGTGTCTCCCTACATATTGAAGATATATTGGTGTCTTTTAGCCACTCTGTTATTCTTTGCCTTCACCTGTATAGGGAGCACCTTTCTTTTTCTAGTTTACATTGTCTCCTTTTCCTTAAGGGAATATGCCTTGAGCATACCTCAAGTGCCACAGAGTTAATTTGTCTAGACATAGGTTAGGATCCGTGTTTCTTAGGCTATCTTCGCAGTTTATGTCATTTAGTACTTGGTTTACTTGGTCCGACCTCATGTTTTTGTTATTGAAGTTGAATTTGGTGAAGGCTCCCTCGTGACTGATCACATTTTGTTGGTCTGGGACCCTGTGCATACATGTCTGGACCTTTATTATGTTGTGATCTGAGTATATTGTTTTTGATATATGATGACATTTCACATCAAATCATCATTGTTAGTGAAGATGAGGTCCAGCATATTCTCCAATCTTGTAGGCTCTGTTATTTGCTAGTTTAATGAGAATTTGGTGCAGAGACTTAAATGCTTGTGTGTGTGCAAGTTTTCATCTGAAGTGCCTCCTGGTGTTATCTCTGCTACAACATTATTTGCTATATTCCTCCATTTTAGGTGCCTTAAGTTGTAATCCCCATGAGCAAGATGTTGGGGGCAAGAGCTGGATGATTTTCCAGACAGTGGTCAATTTTCAAAAGCTGTTCCTGGAATTGCTGGAACTTTGCATCCGGAGGCTTGTATACAACTGCAATAACCAGGTTTTGGTTCTCGATGTTTACTGCTAAAACTTCAACTACATTTAAGGCATTTAATAGCTCTGAGCATGTAAGTGACTCTGTGATATACAGGCCAACCCCCCCTCCCTTTTGCCTTTTCACACTGTCACATATGTATAGTTTGTAACCCGGAATCCATATTTCATTGTCCAAGTGATCCTTGATGTGGGTCTCTGTGAAGACTGCAAACATTACATTTGATAATTTGTAAGCAGTCCATGGGTGAGAGGTATTTTGTTGTTTATTGCTGGCTTTCGACCCTGTATATTTGCAAAGATGAATGTCATTCGATTGGTGGTTTGGGGGGGGGTGGTGGTCTTTTATTCCTGGTAGTACTATCTTATTGTTTTGGAGTGGAGGCCATCAACTGTGATTCCACTCCTGAAATGATTGGAGTTAGTGTATGATTTCTGCCATTTCCTGCCAGCTCTTTTCCCTTTCTTGTGCTAAAAAAAACCTCTCCCTCTGGAGTAGCTCTGGCTAACTAGGATTTTTTATCTTCTTGTTCTTTAGGTGGTGTTCCTGGCAATATAAGTTATAGCACTGTCTTTCCTGAAGTGAACAGTGACACATTTCAGGGTGGAAAAGATTACAGGAAGGGAGGTTGCATTTTCCTATTTTCGTATGGGCACGGCATTTCCTAGGGTGGTCAAAGTTGCACGTCCCATCTGTTTTTCCAAATATTACATGCCTGCGGATACCAAGTGCATAGAATTTGCATAAGCCTGGTTTCTGTTTGCCTTGGTTTTATGTGACTATTGCCTACTGGTGCGTAGTTTTCTATCTCATTTCTATCTTCAGCACCAGTACTAACACTGGAGCCTTCATCAGTTATTTCTGGTAATTTAGCTTCATTATTTCTCGGGGCATCCCCTTATTTACTATCTCCCGTGGTATTGCTAGTTTGTAACATTTGTTTTTGCATGTCCTTTACCTTGTCTATACCTGTTTCCCCACTAGAGCTCCTGTTTCCCTCCAGGCCACCATTTATTTCTCTATTCTTACAGTTACTGTCTACCAGGACACCATTTGTTCCAGGGGCAATAACACTATCTGACCCAGTTTTTTTTATTTTTCCATCTGTTATAGAATTCTCTTATATTTTTTATGAAGGCGGCTTTGATATTTTTAAAAGCAGTGTGCTTTTATTCCACAGTTCTGTCTCATTTGGGCACAACCAAAAACACTTCGCTGGTTTAATATCTCTTGTAGATGATCCCTGAATATCTGCACAAGGTGCATGAGTCCAATCTTTATTTCTACAATTACATGTACCAGGTATACAGGCCTAGCTGACATCAATGCAGAGCATTTCTGGCAAATTAGGTCAATTTTTTCCCCAGGATGCAACTTACATCAGTCGACTAACACCTAGGTACCCAATTTACTGATAGGTGAACGTGGACAGCTGGTGTCTTACGGAAACATGTTCTCATGTTTCCACCCATACCCGAGATCGAACCATAAATCACAAGGGTTTACTCTTTCAGTAAAAGAATGGCCTTATAAATGATGTGCAGTTTTCTTTGTAAAATAAACATGTCCAGTATATCTAACGTTGTTGATATCTTAGCAGAAATAGATTTATAAAAATGTTTCATTCAACTTCTCTTTTACAGTTGATGTTTACCGTGTCAGTAAACATACCATGCTGACACCCAGTTAAGAAAATGGGAAAAGTAGTGAGATCAGCTAGTGTCAGCACCAGGTTTAATAAAGCATACTACACTGTCTGAAGGACTGACTACAGCAGCTGTCAGCACCAAGTTTAATAAAACATACTACACTGAAGCACTGAGTACAACTACTGTCAGCACATCTTCAATAATATCAATAATTATGTGTGTGTTCCAGTTGTCAATATTTGACTGAACTGTTTAGAAAATCTAGTTTCTAACTTTTCTGTGGAATTAAGGTAACAGAAAATGTGGTTCAGTGTACACATTATTTCTCACATTTAATAATGTGAAAGACAATATTAAAAAATCCTAATTCATAACTATTTTAAGTAACTATTTCTGTATTCTTACCTCCCTTGAAACTATTATGTTAGTCCTAGTCTTGCCCCTTTTGTGAAAATATTGGCTATAATCATGCCCCTACTATGAAAATATTAGACATAGTCTTATCCCTATTATAAAAATAAGTCTTACCCCTATTATTATAATTTTAGTCATAACCGTTCCATTAACTGTGTTTAAAAACCTGAGTGTTTCTTATTTTTAATTATTTCTTTGAAATAATTAGTATACATGCAATTAATTTATGATGAAATAAGATTGAAGTGTTTTTGGAATATTTATAATTACATCACCTACACCAGCACCCATTTAAATAACTTACACTACCTACACCCCACTTAACAGTTTACACTACACCAGCACCCATTTAAATAACTTACACTACCTACACCCCACTTAACAGTTTACACTACACCAGCACCCACTTTCAGCTTACACCACCTTCACCAGCACCAATTTAACTGCTTATGCCACCTACACCAGCACCCACTTAAACAACTTACACCACCTACACTAGCACCCATTTAAACAACTTACTCCACCTACACCAGCATCAACTTAAACAACTTACACCACCTACACTAGCACCCATTTAAACAACTTACTCCACCTACACCAGCACCAACTTAAACAACTTACACCACCTACACTAGCACCCACTTAAACAGCTTACACCACCTAGACCAGCACCCACTTAACAGCTTACACTACCTACACTAGTGCCCATTTAAACAGCTTACACCACCTTCACCAGCACCCACTTAAACAACTTACACCACCTACACCAGCACCAACTTAAACATCATTATTGCTCCATCAGAATATTCCAAACATTTTTCAAAATTAACTTTAACATCTATTTCAGTTTTTGTACCAAGGAATTTAAAAAATAATATTAGTTAAGGAGAAAAGAGCTCACACATTACTGAAATTTAATACATTATTTATTGAAATTTACAAACAAAAAATACATTGCAGTATTTGATAGTCAAAACAAATATTTTTGTGATTTTTTTCGCATAAATTTGTATTGGTTACAAGAGTTTATTTACATGAAAAGAATTGCCCATCAGTTGTCAATATTATTATGCTTTTTAAAAGTCTACGTTGGAGACTGTATTAAATAAGAGACAATAGAGACAGAGAATACAAAATGTGCAGTACAGTTATGTTGTTATGTGAAGGAGTGCGTAGCATACAATGAATTACTGGTTTATTGAGTGTTAAAACTTGAAATAAAATAAATTCAACATGAAGGTGGTAAGTAAAGTCCATCAGTGTCCTATTTGTGAACAAGTTTTTCCAACTAATTATAAACTCATAAGACATAACATTACTCATACAGGAGAGAAGCCGTATCATTGTTCAGTGTGTCTGAAAGGTTTTATCAGTAAATCCTCATTAAAGGAACACGAGAAAATTCATACAGGGGAGAAGCCACATCAATGTTCAGTGTGTCAGAAAAGCTTTAGGAAGAAATCCTCACTAAATAAACATGAGCAAATTCATACAGGAGAGAAGCCATATCAGTGTTCAGTGTGTCAGAAAGATTTTAGGAATAAATACTCACTAGGACAACATGAGAGCATTCATACGGGAGAGAAACCGTATCAGTGTTCACTGTGTCTGAAAGATTTCAGGGATAAATGCTCACTAAATAAACATCTGAGAATTCATACAGAAGACAAGCCATATCAGTGTTCAGTGTGTCTGAGAGATTTCAGGGATAAATCTTCACTAAATCAACATAAGAAAATTCATACCGGACTGAAGCCACATCAATGTTCAGTGTGTCAGAAAGACTTTCTTCTTAAATACTCACTGAAACAACATCAGAGAATTCATACAGGAGAGAAGCCATATCAGTGTTCAGTGTGTCAGAAAGTTTTTGCTGATAAATCCTCACTAAATAGACATCAGGGAATTCATATAGGACATAAACCATATCGATGTTCAGTGTGTCTGAAAGCCTTCAGTGGCAAAACTGCGCTAAATAATCACATGAGAATTCATACAGGAAAGAAGCAATATCAGTGTCGTGGATGTCGCAAAAACTTCTTAGAAAAATCCTCACTATATGAACATCAGAAGGTTCATGAAGGAGAGAAATTATATCATTGTTCAGTGTGTCTGAAAGACTTTATTAATAAATATGTACTCAAACAGCATGAGAGAACTCATACAGGAGAGAAACCCTATCAGTGTTCAGTGTGTTATAAAGGCTTTGGACGCAAGGATTGCCTGAATTCACATATGAAACGGCATATTGGAAAGAAGCCATATCAGTGTGCAGTGTGTACAAAATTATTTACAGCAAAAGGTTCTCTGGTAAAACATATGCGCTTTCATACTGGAGAGAAGCCATTTCAGTGTTCAGTGTGTGTAAAACAGTTTTCAGAAAAATCTTCTCTTGTGAATCACCTAAAGATTCATACAGTAGAAAAAATACACGAGTGTCTTGAGTGTCATGAAATATTTTCAAGTAACTCTCTTTTAGTTAAGCACATGACACTTCATGAAGAAGATAAACCATACAAGTGTTCAGAGTGTCAGGAAAACTTCTCAGCAGAAGAAAGTTTAGAAGAACATTTTAAAATTCATACAAGGGAAACACCATACAAGTGTTCAGAGTGTCAGGAAAGTTTCTCAGTAGAAGAAAGTTTAGAAGAACATTTTAAAATTCATATAAGGGAAACACCATACAAGTGTTCAGAGTGTCTGGAAAGTTTCTCAACAGAAGAAAGTTTAGAAGAACATTTTAAAATTCATATAAGGGAAACACCATACAAGTGTTCAGAGTGTCAGGAAAGTTTCTCAGTAGAAGAAAGTTTAGAAGAACATTTTAAAATTCATATAAGGGAAACACCTTACAAATGTTCAGAATGTCAGGAAAGCTTCTCAGCAGAGGAAAGTCTAGAAGAACATTTTAAAATTCATTTAAGAGACTCGCCATACAAGTGTTCAGTGTGTCAGGAAAGCTTCTCAATAGAAGAAAGTTTAGAAGAACATTTTAAAATTCATACAAGGGAAACACCATACAAGTGTTCAGAGTGTCAGAAGGGCTTTTCAAGTGAAACAAGTTTATTATTACATAAAAAAATTCATGATTGGGAAAAAACATACACTTGTTCACGGTGCTCACGAAGCTTTTCACAAAAATTAGAATTTGAAAATCACTTGAAAGATCACAACACAGAGCAGTCATATCAATGTTCAAGGTGTCCGGAAAGTTTTTCCCACAAAACTGACCTAGTACATCATATGATAACTCATGTATAAGAGAGAATACAAAGCAATGTGAAATGTTTTAATGACATTTTAAGAAAAATATGATTTATAAAATCTCTTATGACTGGTCATTTGAGCAGGAAAACCCGAGAGGAGCATATACTCTGTTAGAAATATACATGGGAAATATTTATCATGTAAAATAGCACAGATCTAAAATAACAGTAAGGGAAGACAGAAATACACTTAAAAATAATAGTTTATTCTTACATGCTAATGCACTTAAAAATATAAGTTAGATGTTTCCTATTTGTGTAGTGCACTTAAAAATAGAGGTTCTTTTATTTCTACTTGTCTAGTTCATTGCAGTAGATTCTCATATTACACGAATTTATTTGGCACATTTTTGTTATTACACTGTTGAAAAATTGTGGCATTATTTTATACAACACTTTATAAAATTAACTTAACACGGTTCGGTTAGTGGGAGGGGAGAAAATTTGGAGTGTCACCCATGGGATATTTCCCTAGCTCAGGCCGCTGCCTGACTGTGAGTGAGACTACCGTCTCCACGGTGCTGCACCAGGCTTCAAGGCAGCAGAGGATTCTTTCACCTTACCCCTTTGTGGTAATGAGTCAGGTGATTTCAAGTGTAAATGCATCATTATTTACCACTGAGAATCCTTGTGCTTTGAAAGGTGTAGATTAACCCTTTCAGGGTCGAGAGGCCCTCTCCTAATCTTGTTCTCAGGGTCGAAAATTTTTTGGAAAAAAAAAAAAAATTTTCTTATGAATTGATAGAGAATCTTTTCTCAATCATAAGGACACCAAAAGTATGAAAATTGATGGGAAACTTGCGGAATTATGCTCTTGCAAAGCTAGAGGTCTCGACGATGTTTACACATTGGCGATTTTGCCCTATTTGAGCCCTGTTTTGGGCCAATTCCAGTGTACTAGTTGACAAAAATCATAACTATTTTGCTAGAATTTCATTTTTTCTATCAAATGAGTACAAGAAACCACCCATTTACTGATTTCTACTACCCAGTAAAGTGGTCAGAAATTGGCAATTTTGCCAATTTCACACAAATTTCAAAAGATGCCAATTTCCAAATAGGGTCCAGAATAAACAAGACAGACATTCCTGGCACTAAAATAACATTTTCCCTGTTCATTAGTCATGCCCCCAGGCCCCTCTTACATTTCTTTTGCTTTCCACTTTGAATTTTTATTCTCACAAAAAATAGAAGATTTATTGTTATGCAGACTACTGCATTAGTGTAGAAATATCATTGCACTTGTGAAAGAATATTAGACTCACCAGTTGACATGTATTGGACGCTTGGCATGATTTGTTTACTTTTGAATTTTGGCAAAAATCGAACATTTCTGCTATTTTGACCTCAATTTCAAGGTACTTTTCATTGTGAAACCAATCAAAAACATGTCAATTTCTGTAATATGTCTTCCATTCTATAAAATGAGACCAGGGAAACTAGAATACAACCATAAATGTCATACGAAAATACAATGCGAAGTCGTTGTTTTAAACTGAAAACATGGTCTATGGGTCACATAGACCCATTCTTTCATATGTAGGCCTACCAGCTTTCTCTTGCTAGATTTGAAGGCGCTGGAATTTACGCATACTAGTACGTCAATAACCCTGGTGCGTAAAACATACTAGTACGTCGGAAACCCTGAAAGGGTTAAAACACCTTACCAGTAATTTGGAGGTCAAATCAGTCAGCATGGATGACAGAAGAAATATTTATTGACTGGTTTAAGCATCATTTTATTCCTGAAGTTAAGTTTTACCTGCACAGCAAGAACCTTGCATTCAAGGCTCTTTTCATTCTTGATAATTCCCGTACTCATCCAGAAGCTTTGCTGGATGTGTCCCCACATGTAAAAGTTGTATTTTTACCTCCAAATACATCTTTAATACAACCACTGGATCAGGGAGTTATTAAGTCATTCAAGTGTAACTACAGAAGAAAAGTGATGAAAAAACCAGGTGCATTAATGTACTCTGACTCTAACCTGGCAGTACCAAGCTTTTGGAATAATGTATAATATACTGCAGGGTAAAAGAAGCCAGACCTCTTCAACGGGGGCCCCTTGGCATGGTAAAGAGGCTCTTGGTCTGATCAATTAGACCTGTCGGTCTCCTTCCTCAGACTGAACCTAATTACCCCCCATTCCCCCTTCCCTATCCCATCCTCCCCTTTTTCCTTTCCTCCTCCTCCTCCCCACCCCTCCCTTTTGCCCTTCCTCTTTTTGGCCTTTGGGATTTTTTTCCCTCAGGCGCGCTAGTTCTTAGGTAGGGGAAAGGGTACCGGGGTCCATCCCATTCCATTGAGGTTCTTGGCAGTGGCGTAGTTTGCCGTGGAATCTGGATCGCCTGGGGATGTCCCGATCCCTCTCCGGTATCCCGGAGGGTGGCTTTGGGTGTCTTTCGGGCAATGGGTGTATCTCTGGAAGCCACCTTTCGGATTCCGGGGGTGGTGGCCGAGAGAGGTATGCTTTGTGGCAGATATCCGGCCGCCCTCTCTTTTGTCCACCGAGGTAGCTCGGCAGATGTGAGGTTGCTATCCCAGATTGCTGGTTTACTGGCATGAAGGGTAGGGTATGGCACGGGTTCCATGCTGCATCTGCTCTACTTGCGGTGCTGAGGTCCTCTTGGGCGCGGATTGAGATTTCCGGCCCTTTCATTCCTCCTAGGAACTATCCCTCCCCGGTCCCCCCTTTTTTTATTCTTTTTTTTATTTTTATTTTCTTTTCCTCTTTCTTTTTTTTCTTAAAAAACAAAAAGAAAGAAGTAACCTAACCATGGAGTTCCCAATCCATGATCCCACTACCCCTGGGCCCCTTCTTGTTACCGCACCCCGTTCTGACCTCGCCTCGTCTTTTGACCACTCTTCGGACACTCCTAAGGCCCTTGTACCTCTTGCTGCTGCTGTTTCGTCACCCGCTTCAGGTGCCAGGGTTTCAACTGACTCCTTTGATTCGTCTGACCTCCGCTCTCCTTTGACTATGCTTCCGGCCTCTCCCTCTACGGTGTGACAATTTTCGAATAGCCAGCCCGTCCCACGTCGGACCAACTCTGGTCCCACTTCTAAATGCCAACAACAATCTCCTGATGATGTTACTTTGTTACCTTCCCATTCTTCTCGGAAAAGACTGACACATCCTGCACTCTCTCTCCACACTCAGTTTCGGACCACACAATGGACTAAATTCTTTACTTTAAGACCGACTTCTTCTACTGCCTATCTTTCCAACCATAGTATTGGCAAAGCGCTCCTACGCCATGTTGGTAGAGATATTTCCTTTCATGCTCTTAAGAGTGGTACGTGCATCATCACAGTCCGGAATGCTACCCAAGCTCATGATCTTTCTCTTCTTTCACATATCGATACTATTTCTATCACTATCGAAAAACATCATTCTCTCAATTCTTGTAGTGGTACTGTCATTCTGCCCTATACCATAGTCCAACAGAATTTCTGGACATGTGGCATTGACATTCTCGAACAGCTGAAACTCCTGAAACTTCCTGCCCGTGGGCGGAGACGATACCCTTCCAGTGTGGCTCTTTTAACTTTTGACAGCCGTGAACTCCCATTCTCTGTTTATGTAGCAGGACATCGGTTACAAGTTCAAAAGGTGATCCCTACACCGCAACAGTGTAGAAATTGCTGGCGATTTGGCCACCCAGTGAAATATTGCAGATCTGTAGCCGATTGCCCAGTCTGTGGTGTCGATGACCATTCTAATACGTCTTGCAGTCAACCTCCCTCTTGCCTTAATTGTCATGAGGCTCACCCTTCGTACTCTTGCCATTGCCAGGTCTACTTAAATGAACGGGAAATTCATTGCCTCAAAGAGGCAGAAGGTCTCCCTTATGCTATGGCAGTTTCTCATCTCCGCCTCCAAGGGAGACTACCCTGTGTTTCTTATTCTCGTGTTTCAAAACATCCCCCCCACTTCTGGGGTCCCATCTTCTGCAGCCTCCTCTGCGGTTGCCCCTCCCATAGTTACTCTTGTATCTAATTCTTTTGCTGTGCTGGGCTCAGACGTCCCTACTTCAACACCTCAGTCTGTTCTCACTTCTTCGTGTTCTCCCTCACAAACCCCGGTATCAACAAGACCTCGTACGACACCTCCTCCCAATCATCCCTCTACTTCTCAGAAGTCCAAAAAATCTCCTTTAACCTCTCCTTCCCTTCATCACCTCCACAATTTATCTTCCCAGTCTCTGTACCTGGGTCTTCCCCTTTCACTGGCTCTGTTACAAGTGTGGAGGTTCATCCTCCTCCTCGTACTGTGCCTTCCTCCCCTGTCCCCTCCCAAATTTCTTCCTCTTCTGCCACCTCCCAGGTTTCTGCCTCTTCTGTCCCCTCCCACACTTCTCCAGTTCTGTCAACCCTTTCGCTCCCCCCCCTACCTTGGTACAGTCCATTACAGTTCTGATCTTTACTCAAACTCCTCCTCCTTCCATCTCCAGTATTGTCTCCCATATGACGTCTCTGAACTCTGAAACACTTGAAGCAATCTCTGAATATATTGCAGAGACCAAACCATCAATTGACACTGATCCACCCTCTGTTCCTTCTCTTTCCTCTTCTCCATCTGCGCAACTCCTTTCTTCACAGCGCATCGTTTCTTCGCTTCTTGAACATTTTCCGCTGCCACCGCATGTGGACTTTTCTAACCCCTCTAGGCCGTAAGTACCCTTACCTGCGGATTTCTAGTATCTTTATCATTGTCAATCATGGCCTATTTACAGTGGAATATACGCGGCCTCGGGTAATTGGGGTGAGCTTCAGACGTTGCTCTCCCAATTTTCCCTTGTTGGTGTTCACTTACAAGAACCAAAATTACACTCTGCTGTTATCTATCCCATCTCAGGCTATAATTTATTGTATTTTTCGGATCCTTTCTCAAATGGGACCTTTAATGAAAGTGCCCTTCTTCTACACACTGATATTCTGTACCATCAACTATTTGTTCGTACTTCGCTGCATTACACAGCAGCCCGTATCCACCTGCATAGGTGGTATACACTGTGTTCTTTGTATCTCTCTCCTTCTCGATCATTACCTATCCCGGATATTGCCTTTCTTGTTTCGTCATTACCACCACCACTTCTGTTACTTGGCGATTTTAATGCCCATCATTTCCTCTGAGGGGGGTCTCACTGTGATTGCCCTGGCATTCAGTTAGAGGCTTTTCTTGCTTCCCACCCCCTCCATGTTTTAAATACAGGTACTCACATCCATTTTGATCCTCTTGCATCGATCTCTCAGTCTGCTCTTCCTCCGCCGCACTAGACTTTACCTGGTCTGTTCTCCCGGATTTACATGACAGCGATCATTTTCCAATCATTCTTACTTCCCCTTCATATTCACCACCTCTTCGTAACCCACGCTGGCAATTTGATCAGGCAAATTGGGACCTTTACTCACAACTAACTGTTTGTTTTTAGTGAGGTTCCTTCTTCATCCTCAATTGATGAACTTTTACACCTCTTCTCGTCCTCAGTTTTAACCGCAGCTTCTCATTCTGTACCCCAAACCTCGGGCAGGCATTCTCAGAAATGCATGCCTTGGTGGTCTCCTGCTTGTGCTCGTGCAGTACGTTTGAAATGCGCTGCGTGGGGCAGGTACCGATACAATAGAACCACTGAGAGACCTCTTGATTTTAAGCAGAAGCGTGCGATCACTCGCTGTGTCATCCGTGACGTTAAACGCACTTGCTGGCGAGATTATGTCTCCACCATCACCTCTGCTTCCTCTATGAATGCAGTCTGGAAAAAAGTACGGAAACTGAATGGTAAATATTCTCCTGACCCGGCTCCTGTTCTGCAGGTTGCCAGTGTTGATATAGCAAACCCTCTTGATGTTGCCATTGAAATTGGCAATCATCTGGTCTGTATTTCTCTGGGGCTCCATCTATGCCCCTCGTTTCTTTCCTCAAAGTCTGCCAGAGAGTTAGCACCCTTGGACTTTTCTTCTCT